GTATGCAGATGACACAACCTTGCTTGCTGAAAGTGAAGAGGACTTGAAGCACTTACTGATGAAGATCAAAGACCACAGCCTTCAGTATAGATTATATCTTAACTCAAAGAAAGCAAAAATCCTCACAACTGGACCAACAAGCAACATCATAATAAATGGAGAAAAGATTGAAGTTGTCAAGGATTTCATTTTGCTTGGCTCTACAATCAACACCCATGGAAGCAGCAGTCAAGATCTCAAAAGACGCATTGCATTGGGCAAATCTGCTGCAAAAGACCTCTTCAAAGTGTTGAAAAGGAAAGATGTCACCTTGAAGACTAAGGTGCGCCTGACCCAAGCCATGGTGTTTTCAATTGCCTCATATGCAATTGAAAGCTGGACAATGAATAAGGAAGACCGAAGAAGAATTGACGCCTTTGAATTGTGGTGTTGGTGAAGAATATTGAATGTGCCATGGACTGCCAAAAGAACAAACAAATCTGTGGTGGAAGAAGTACAACCAGAATGCTCCTTAGAAGCAAGGGTGGCGAGACTACGTCTTACATACTTTGGACATGTTATCAGGAGGGATCAGTCCCTAGAGAAGGACATCATGCTTAGTAAAGCAGAGGGTCAGCGAAAAAGAGGAAGACCCTCGATGAGATGGATTGACAGTGGCTGCAACAATGGTCTCAAACATAAAGATTGTGAGCATGGCGCAGGACCGGGCAGTGTTTAGTTCTGTTGTGCATAGGGTCACTACAAGTCGCAACTGACTCGATGGCACCTAACCACAAGAACAGGGTTTTTTATACAATGGAAGCATTCACTGGAGGAAAATGAACCCTACTGCCCACCTCTGCAACTAGCTCCGCCCACCACATCTGGTCCCGCCCGCATCCCCGCCTTCCATTTTAGTTGCAGCCGCCGCCAGCCTGGTCCCCACCTAGGGCCGAACTGCGTCTCTAAGGCAGGGAAATAGCTCTTAGCATTCCCAGCTGGAATAAGCTGCCACAGGAACCTGTCTCCCCAACCTCCAGTACGTTCGCAGGTGGTACAGGAAATGAAAGTGCGTGTCCGCCAGCCGGCGGCCATTTAACTTGCATTTCCAGTCCTGGCTGAGGTAAGTTTTTGCAGATCTCCGCGTCTGCCCAGTCCACGTGGAGCCGTGAGGGAGCCGGAGGGTCTGAAGGGGCAGGTGCGGGGCAGAGGGCACCGTCCCAGGCCCGGCGGTGCGCATTCTTGGCTGCTCCTTCCTCCCGTGGAAGCTCTGCAGCCCCTCATAGAGCCTGCCTGGCTCAGCCGGCGCTAGTCAGGGCCTCTGAGGCATGGGCCCCCCGGAGCGTTGGTCCCTCGCGGAAGAGGCGGGACAGGGAGTGTGGTCAGAGTGCATTCAGCTGATGCTTTCCATCTGCTGTGCTTTACACTTTACCAGTTGCCGTGGAGTCGATTCCGACTCGGAGTGAACCTATAGGACAGAGTAGAACTGCCCCATAGGGTTTCCAAGGGTGTAATCCTTACAGAAGCAGGCTTCCACATCTTTCTCTTCGGGAGCGTCTGGTGGGTCCATCTGCCGACCTTTTGGTTACTAGCCGATCGCTTTAACCACTGCGCCACCAGGGCTTCTTACCTACACTCTTTAAAAGCCTGCAGAGCATTTGTGTCTTTTCTCCAGAATGAAAATCCTCTCTGTTGTTTGGGTCATGGAAACTCTGGCGCCAGCATCGCGAATTGTTCTCGCTGACCTGGCGATTCTGGGCTATTCCAGTGAACACAGGGTGAAATTGTTTTCACTGTGGGTATCAGTTATTGGCTGTAAAATCCCACCACCCACTCCAATTTGGCACCCACCACACGCCTTTGTTTTCTGTGCTTGAGCCACCCCTTTCACAGGTCGTGGATGATACCGGATTCTCTGCTGACTCGGATTTACACACACATTTCCCACTTGCAGTAGTCTCTCAGACCTTTCCCCATGCCATCAACCAGGCCCAACCATGCTAGTAGCAAAATTCTACCAAATCTATGAATCTTATTTTAAATATCTTTCACTTAGAAGCCATCTAACCTGTCCCTCAGGTTAGGTCTTTTCATTTACAGGCTCTCAGATGTCCAGAAATTTCATTATTTATTTAAAATTGTCTTCCATGCTAGACTGTAATACCTATGGGCAGGCCTTATGGACCTTTTTGTTTATCTTATGCTTGGCCTGACATGCTGCTTGCTCCTTGACGGATGTCCAGGAAAAGGTTAACCCAGCAGGCCTGGGTTGCTAACATGCTGTAATTTCTGAAGAAAGGCTTGCCTTCAGGAGTGGTGTTTGGCCTGCCCCTGGGAGATGAGCTCTGAGCCCTTGGAATATTCTGATAAGAGTGTTTTTGTGTGCTTGAAGCCTTGTGCCGTGCTGTTTGACAAGATAGTTTATGCGGACAATGTAATTTATGGTGAAGGTCTGTTTTTGCTTTTGGGGGATCTGGGTAGCTTAGATCAGTCACATGAGGACTGCATGCCTAATGTGACTTACCACCTAATTAAAACCCTGAACACCAATGAGATGGGCAACTGCTAGACAATGGCCGAGTAGGGCTAGACTAGACATTCTGACTTCCTCATTCTAGTTCCAGGAGAAGCTGCCGGAATGAAAAATAAGGAACTGAGGGCAAATACCAGACAAAACCAGTCGGAGGTGCCCGTACAGGCACAGAACAACGCACACATGCGCAAAGAGCCTCAACTTGTCCTCCCAGTGTCTTACCACAGAGATTTCACTGACATGGGGCGGGGGGGGGGGGGCTGGGAAGAGCTAAGCCGCCATTGTCCTATCACCGTGGCCATTTTGTGAACCTGAATCTCATTGTGGCTGCGTTGACCTGATGACAACAATATCATCATAGAAGTTGTCCACCAATCCTGATATACCACATTCCTGAACACACCCTGACGAAGAGCCCCCTACTCTGCTTTCCTCCCCATATAAACCCCTGTGCCTGCCTAGGGGAGCTATCTTGGCAATGCAGGTCCCGGTGTGCTCCTTTGCTTGGCCAACCAAATAAAACTTTCTTCTTTCGTTTTCAACCAGACTGTGCCTTAGTGCTGTGCCGAGCGGAACCTGGAGGTCTGGTAACATATTTGGGCGAGCCAGACAGGAGGCAACTGCTCAGTGTTCAGGGTGCACCAGTCCTGACCTGATGAGAACCTCAGCAGCTGGCAATGGGACTGCTTGTTCTGTCTGGGCCCCTCTTCAGACTCTGGGTAGACATGCTATGAACCCAATGGCAACTCCAGAAAGCAAGGGAAGAAATCTGCAGTAATCAGGTAAGTGCTATTTCTGGTGGATTTGAATCCTGGCAGGTCCATGAGGTGGTCCATGGTAGATAGGACTAGACCCCTGCCATCTCATGAGCGCCCCTCTGGATCGAGGGAGCGTCCTTCTGTCTGAACATATCTGGAACACCAGTGTTGTTTTGTTTGTTGTTGCGTGAGTGTGTAGCAATAAGAAACATGGGTAATACTAAAAGCATTCCTGAGTGTTCACCCTTAGGGTATATTTTAAAGAAGTGGGATAAATTTGGCTATGATTGTATGAAAAAGAAGAAATTAATTTTCTTGTATAATACTGCTTGGCCCCAGTATCATCAGGGGGACCAAGAAAAGTGTTCCATGAACGGATCACTGAACCATAACACCATCCTTCAGCTAGATTTACATTGCACAAGGAATGGTAAGTGGGATGAAAAACATTATGTAGAAGCTTTTGTGTCATTATATAATGATGAGAAAACTCAAAAGGCTTATAAAATTTGTGTCCAACAGGAAAAAAAAGGGCCCGCCGTGCTGCCACCAGTGCTAGTGGTGGATGATCCTTTTGATTCTCTGGGGCCACCACAGCCTCTACCTTACACCCCTCTCCTTGATGACTGCCCCTTCCCAGAACCTGACCAAGGGAAAAGTGGGGAGCCAGACAAGAAGATAGGGCTGCCCAGATGTCCTGGGAATCTTCCTTTGTCACCACCACATACAACGGGGGGATGGCCTATCAAGGGACAGATTTGACCCAAGGTGCTGAGGGGCCGGGACAGAGCTAACAGAGAGGGCCAGCCTCTGGCCAGTATCCCCTCTGCCAAACCCCACTGGCAGATGGGGGTGTAGTTCGGGTTCATGTTCCCTTTAGTACAGCGGACCTTATTAACTGGAAGAACTACATGCTGTGATATCGAGAGGATCTGGTAAAAATGTATTAGCTGTCTATCACAATTAATTCCTTTGATCCCACTTGGGCAGACTCAGTCTCTCTTAAGCACCTCCCTTTCCCTGGAGGAGAGGCAGATAGTCCTAGACAGGGCCCGAGAGGAAGCCCAGAGACAATATGACGTTCAGCTGGCAGGAGATGAAGTTGATGACATCTTCCCCCTTTGAGACCCCTGCTGGGATCACAGTCAAAATGGCAGAGTATGATATGCTCACCCGTTATCAGGACTGTCTCTTAGTGGGTCTTAAAAATGGAGTACCTAAGCTCTTAAATTGGAATAAGGTGTATGAGATTAAACAGCACACAAATGAGGATCCTTCAGCTTTCCTTGAAAGGATTTATAAAGCTTTTAGACAGTACACTGATCAGGATCCAGAGGATCCAGCAAACACTCGGATGGTCAATAGTATTTTTATAGGACAGTGCACCCCGGACTTTGCGAAAAAGCTCCATAAGATAGCTGGGGCTGGGACCATGAGCATCAGATACCTGGTTGAAATGGCATTTAAGGCCTATAATAACAGAGAGGATAAAGACAGGAAGCGTCAGGTTGCCCTGCTAGTAGCAGCAATACAGGCTAGGCCCTCAGAAGGGAAGAAACCTACTGGCCCTAGTGAGGCCCGACTTCCGCCCCCACCGGGAAGAAACCAGCGTGCCTGTTGTAAAGAGGAGGGCCACTGGAAGAGAGCGTATCCCAAGAAAAAGACTAGGCAGCTCAAATGCTAGCCCTAACCCTAGAAGAGGACTCTGACTAGGGCAGACTAGGGGCAGGACTTCCCCCTGAACCTCTGGTTATAATAAACATGGAGGGAAAACCTACTCAATTTTTTGTTGATACTGGAACTACACACTTGGTCCTTACCAAACCAGTCAGACCCTTGTCCAGGCATAAGATCTCAGTAGTTGGAGTAGCAGGTAAAGAAGATACCCACTCATTCCTTCAACCCCTCACCTGCTCCTTCCCTGGAAAAGTGAAAACTTTGACCCCCTCTTTCCTGTACAAGCCTGATTGCCCTGTCCCCTTGTTGGGCCGAGAATTAATTAAATAAATCACAAGCTGGAATACACTTCAGCTGAAGACAGATGTGTGTTCAAGTTCCAGTAGAACAGGGATGGAAGTCACACTTACTGTTGTGTTCCACTCTGCAAACCCAGGGACAAGAAACAATCCGCTTTCCCTGCCAAGCTGTGATGACAAAGATTAACCCGCTAGTATGGGCCACCCAATGCCGGCACACAGTGCAGTTCCAGTGAAGGTTGAGCTACTTCCAGGAATAATCCCGCCTAGGCTGACACAATACCCAATAGGACAAGAGGCTCAGTTGGCAGTACTGCGTTTAGTACAGAGATACTTAGAGTTTGGACTCTTTAAGGTTCTGCACATGTGCTTTCAACACTCCAATCCTGCCTATGAAGAAGAAGGATGGCTCCTATCAATTTGTCCAAGACCTGCAGGCCATCAACCAGGTAACAGTACATCCCACCATGGCTAATCCTTTTGCCTTGCTCTCGACACTATCACGTGCTTAGAAATTTTTCTTGGTCTTAGATTTAAAAGATGCTTTCTTCTGTGTGCCTTGGGACCCAGTAGCCAAGAGATTTTTGCCTTTGAATTGGAAGACCCAGATACTAGACAAAAACAACAATATTGCTGGCAGGTTCTACCTCAGGGCTTTAAAAACACTCCCACTGTGTTTGGAACCACCCTAGCCCGAAGGTTCCAAAGGCTGACACTGACAGATGGCACCCTGTTGCAATATGTGGATGACTTACTGATTGCCAGCTCTGATGAGTTTAGCTGTGCAGAGAACATTGTGACTGCATTAAACTTTTGGGCAGAGGCTGGGTATAGGGTGTAGAAAGAAAAGGCCTAGATGGCCCAGCAGAAGGTCACCTATTTGGGGCTTATCATTAGTAAGGGAAAGTGGGAGCTCCATCCAGACAGGAAAGAAGCTATATGTAGGCTAGCACCCCTAGGGAACTGGAAACAGCTCCAAGGGTTTCTGGGGATGGTAGGCTTCTGCAGGATATGGATCCCTAATCTTGGGCTACTTACCAAGCTCCTGTGTGCCTTCCCAAAAGGAAAAGAGACAGACTTGTTTCTTTGGACTAAACAAGAACAAACAGCACTTGAACAGGTTATAAAAGCCCTACTAGAAGCCCCAGCATTAGGGCTCCCAGACTTGCATAAACCTTTTGATCTTTTTGTACATGAACATCAGGGTGTAGATGTAGGGGTTTTGACCCAAAATCTGGGCTCCTGAAGACGGCCAGTGGCTTAATTCTCGAAGACTATGGACCCAGTCACCTGTGGGTGGCCAGCGTGCCTTAAAGCTGTAGCAGCCACTGTAAAGATCCTGAAGGGAGCCCAAAAGCTAACCTCGGGCCAAACCATTCGATTTGAAACCCCTCATTTGTGCTCACTATACTGGAACAAAGTCATTGGCTATCCCAGAGTCGAATAACTCAATACTAGTCTGCTCTGGTTGATAATACCAATGTGTTGGTCCAGTCTGCTGTCGCTCTAAATCCAGCCACCCTTCTCCCCACTCTGCTTCTGGGAGACCCCATCCATCATGACTGTGTTCAGACTGTGGACCTGGTCTATGCCAGCCACCCAGACCTACAAAATCAGCCTCTAGCAGATGCTGACTTAGAGTTCTTCACAGATGGAAGTAGCTTCATAGAGGGTGGCCAACAGAGGGTGGGCTATGCAATTGTCAGCCTCACCAAGGTCCTCGAAGCAAACGCTCTCCCCAGTGGAACCTCGGCCCAAAAGGTCAAACTGGTCACGATGATTCAGGCTTTGTGGCTGGCCAAGTCCAAGCGAGTGACCATTTATACAGACTCAAGGTATGTTTTTAGGGTTCTCTATGTACACAGGGACTTGTGGAGACAGGACTCTAAACTCGGCCGGCAAAGAGGTTAAACACAGCCAACAGATTTTACAACTCCTTGAGATGGTGCTACTCCCTGCCACCCTGGCCATGGTACACTGCAAAGGACATCAGCAGGAAGGTAAAGCAGTGGCCAAGGGCAACCAAAAGGCTGACTTAGAGGCCAAGCAGGCTGCCAGAACAATGGCCCCAGTTGTAGTTGCTGCCTTCTTTCCACGTCTTATTTTGCCACCAGCCATGGAAGACCCTGGTTACAGTGAAAAGCAGCTTTATGTGGCTGATCAGTGGCCATTCCAGAAAAAGAATAAGTGGTTCTGCACAGGGATGGGAGGCTGTTAATTCCACAACACGGGATCCCCGGCATCCTGAAGCACCTACATGAGACCACTCACTACGGGCGAGAAGCGATGTATGATTGGGTAAAGAGACACTTTGTCAGCCAAAATTTGCAGGCTGTTATCAGAGATGTTACTAAACAATGTGTCATCTGTCAGGAAAACAATCTCAAGACCTTCTCAGCAGCACCAGAGCAGATCCAGTACCAAGGATATGTTCTGGGAGAAGATTGGCAAATAGACTTCACTGAGATGCCCTGGGATCCAGGCAACTACAGGTATCTACTAGTGTTTGTAGACACCTTTCCCAACTGGGTCGAAACATTCCTTTGCAGGACTGAAAAGGCCACAGAAGTTGCCAGAGGACTACTGGAAGACATCATCCCCAGGTTTGGCCTCCCACAAACCATCGGGAGTGACAATGGAACATATTTTACTCCTCAGGTCACAGAACTTGTAGCCTGACAACTGGGGATGAAGTGGCATCTTCACAGTGCGTGGAGACTCTGATCTAGCGGAAAGGCAGAAAGGATGAACCAGACTATCAAAACCCATTTGGCCAAATGGAGACCAAATTTACTTGGGTTAAGGCCCTTCCCTTGGCTCTGTTCAGGATTAGAGTTGCACCTTGAGCTAAACTTAAGGTAAGTCCTTTGAGCTTGTATATGGGCATCCCCTCCTCCATAACTTGGGAGGGCTTCAATACTTTGAATCCTGAGCAGATTCTAGAGGTTGAGAATATGCATGAGCAAGGCCAACTCACTATTAAACAATATTTGTATTTTGCAGCGGGAATGCTTGACTCTCTTCACAGGTATGTGACATGGCAGATTCTTCCACAGCCCAAAGTCCCTCTCCACGTTTCAAAGCCTGGTACCTGGATATATGTCAAGACCTGCAACGCTGCAGACCTGACAGAAAAATGGAAGGAACCTTTTGAGGTGTTGATGTCAACTCCTACTGCAGTCAAGATCACTGGAAGGGGAGCATGGATCCACCACTCTCGCACAAACCGGCTCCCACTCCCAATATCGTCCAACAGACGCTACAAAACAGTAAGAATTGGAAAGACAGTGATAACTGGGAGATTTGGCCCTTAGAGGGTTTAGCTTGGTTGTTTAAGAAGAAACAAGTAACATAGACAATTGTGCCAGTTGATTGTCATCCCCTGGTGGCTGCGTATGTTGTTTTAGCCTTATTGATAATTATTTTCTGGTTTTGTATGACTGGTACTTGCTTCCTGCTGGGTTTAATTACTGACTGCTCTGTTCATAATTCTATTCATGCTTTGGGCTCTTACTCTCCTGTGCATGCTGCCACACACATGCAGCCTTATATAATTTCCGTCTTATTCCCTCACCTCTTAGACATTCTGTTTGTTTATCCCCTGCGTCTCTCTCAGAGAGACAAAGTCCCCGGAATGGCGAGATAACTGTCTCATAAGTACCTCAAATGGTCTGCACTTGCAAGATTGCTAGGCTGCTTCACCCCCTGCCCCACCAGAACTAAACACAATGTAGAAGCAATCCTGGGCAACAATTACACCCAAGTATCCCACCTACCAAAAACATCACCAGATACCCCACATGATGGGTCTCCCTCTGGGTCCATCTCTCATCTACTCCCATATATGAGATTAACATTTCCTGGGCTGAGAACTGATCCCACCCTATTTGTTCACAACTCATTGACCAAGAGTTCATTTCCTCTAATTACAATAAAGATTTTGCCCAACAGACCATCCAGAGTATCACTAATTCCAATGCTACAACCCCAGACAATTGGAATGAGACAAAATGTATCCCGACTAATCTGACCAACCAAATTTGCTGCACAGGGGCACCAACAAAGGGAAGATACCCAAAAATTTCCCAAGAACTCTTTGTTTGCTCTCTAACTATTGCTTGCAGTACCACATGGGGCCTATACCCACAGGCACACTCTATCACCTCTGAAGCATATGTACAATGCAACAAGAGAGGATACCAGAGCCCCACATATCAAGTATACCAACCTGAACTTTATGGTCCCGTAGCCCCAAGCTTGCAGAACAACACTGGGCATGAGTAAGATAACACCACCCTCAATAACTGCATCACTGAATCTCTGTGTGCCCCTGTCTTAGTCATCTAGTGCTGCTCTAACAGGAATACCACAAGTGGATGGCTTTCACATTTCTCTTTCACAAAGAGAAATTGATTTTCTCACAGTCTACTAGGCTTCAAGTCAAAATTCAGGGCGTCAGCTCCAGGGGAAGCTTCACCTGTCTGTCAGCTCTGGAGGAAGGTCCTCATCATCATCAGTCTTCCCCTGGATCGGGAGCTTCTCCACGCAGGAACCTCGGGTCCAAAGGACATGCTCTGCTCCTGGCACTCCTTTCTTGGTGGTATGAGGCCCCCCACTCTCTGCTTGCTTCCCTTTCCTTTTATCTCTTGAGAGATAAAAGGTGGTGCAGGCCGCACCCCAGGGAAACTCCCTTTACATTGGATCAGGGATGTGACCTGGGTAAGGGTGGTGTTACAATCCCACCCTAATCCTTAACGTAAAATTACAATCACAGAATAGAGGACAACTACACAACACAGGGAATCATGGTCTAGCCAAATTGATACACACATTTTTGGGAGGACACAGTTCAATCCATGACATTCCACCCTTTAGCCCCCCAAAAATCACATCCTTGCAACACGCAAAACATATTCATCCTGTCATATCATAGCAAGTCTTAACTCCAAGTCCAAAATCCAAAACTTCCTCTTTATTTGTGAAATCTAGAATATAAGTTATCTACTTCTAAAGGTACAACGGCAGAACAGGCACAAGCTAGACTTTTCCATTACAAATGGGAGAAACTAGAGGAAAAGAAGGGATAACAGGCATCAAGCAGGTCAGCAGAACACATTACATTAGCCCTCAAGGCTTTGAAAATAAACCTCTGTTCTCTGAGACAATTTACACAATGGCCCTGCCCTCCAGACTCTAGGTATTGGCCACAGTCTCCAGATTCTGAGTGAAAGCCCCTCGGCCCTGGGCTTCAGCTCCACCTTCCAGGCCCACTGGGACAGCAACTCTGTTCCCTTGGCTTTAGGGGCACAATTCTCCCAGTCCATCTGAGTGGCATCTCCACCCTTAGAAACACCAGAGGCTATGGCTTCACCCTTTGAAACCCCTGAGGTCTTGGCCATACCTTCTGAGACTGAGGCAGCTTGGCTTCTTGTGTTTCTTGTCTCTTCAGCTTCTGTTTCCTGTGGCCTCTCAGCCCTCAGGCCTCAACACCCACATCTGCCCTGCTGGGGCAAGTGTTCCAAAGCCTGTAGCTCCACCGGTAAGTGCCTGGAGGCACCCCTCTCTACCAGGAAGCCTCCTGCGCACAGGCATTCAATTCTCTCACTCCGTGGGTCGGCTCCAGCGCCATGTTGCGCTGGTCTCCTGGTTCTGCTGCTGTTGGTTCTCTGCTGCTGCTGCTTTTCTATTGCTGCAGGTTCTCTACTGCTGCTTGTCCTCTGCCACTGTCGCTCCTCTATCCATTCACAGTTTCAAAACCACTTCGACATTTTAGGTATCTGTTAGAGCAGCACCCCACTCTCTCGGTACCAAATTCTGTCTTAGTCATCTAGTGCTGCTCTAATAAGAATACCACAAGTGGATGGTTTTAACAAAAAGAAGTTTATTTCATTACAGTAAAGTAGGCTAAAAGTCCTGGTACCAAATTCTGTCTTAGTCATCCAGTGCTGGTCTTACAGGATGGCTTTCACAAAGAGAAATTTATTTTCTCACAGTCTACTAGGCTTCAAGTCCAAATTCAGGGCGTCAGCTCCAGGGGAAGCTTCCCCTCTGTCAGCTCTGGAGGAAATTCCTCGTCATCATCAGTCTTCCCCTGGATTAGGAGCTTTTCCGCGCAGGAACCTTGGGTCCAAAGGACACGCTCTGCTCCTGGTGCTCTTTTCTTGGTGGTATGAGGCCCCCCACTCTCTGCTTGCTTCCCTTTCCTTTTATCTCTTGAGAGATAAAAGGTGGTGCAGGCCACACCCCAGGGAAACTCCCTTTTCATTGGATCAGAGATGTGACCTGGGTAAGGGTGGTGTTACAATCCTACCCTATTTCTCTTTAACATAAAATTTCAATCACAAAATAGAGGACAACCACACAACACTGGGAATCATGGCCTAGCCAAATTGATACACACATTTTTGGAGGGACAAATTCAATCCATGACAGCCCCCAATGGATATGTCTGGGTATGCAGATCCGGCTCATATCCAAATAGCTGTAACCTAGCTTATCACTATCAAAGCTATGGATGGGCAACTCCTTGCATTGACCCTGTCACTACCACTGGTCAATGCACCCTGGGATTTTTATCTCCCTCAGACACCAGTGTCCAAATATATCAGGCCTCCAACCAAACCTCAAGTTATAGACACAAGAGAGCACTAGACTTAATTTTGGCTGGGGCAGGTGTAGTAATAAGACTCTTGGCCCCTTCCTCTCCATTAGAAGGTTTTATATCTATACCGTTTATTCCCTCTTTTATTGTTCTGATGTTGTCATTCAGAGATTAACCTCTCTGATTCCCTGTCGTAATTCTTTTGGTTTTGGATAGTCCTCGAGAGTTCATTTCCTAGGTTGGTATCTGGCTGGTACGATCCTGTGTCCCAGGTTCAGCCTGATGTTGTTTGTTCTCAGATCGAAGGACTCCATTTAATAATTCTTGTAAGTTTGGTTTGGTTTTTACATAGTCCCTTAATTTCTGTTTGTCTGGAAATGACCTAATTTCACCATCATATTTGAATGAGAGTTTTGCAGGATATATTATTCTTGGCTGGAAATTTTTTTCTTTGAAGGTTATATATGTCATCCCATTGCCTTCTTGCCTGCATGGTTTTTGCAGAAGAATCCGAGCATAGTCTTAGTGTTTCTCCTGTGTATGTGACTTTTTGTTTTTCTCAAGCTGCTCTCAGGATTCTTTGTCTTTGGGTTTAGCAAGTGTGATTATGATATGCCTTGGTGATTTTCTTTTGGGGTCTATCCTATATGGGGTTCGTTGAGCTTCTTGGATGATCAGCTTTTCATCTTCCATGATACTGGGGAAGTTTTCTATCAGCAGTTCTTCAGTGATCCTCTCTGTGTTTTCTCTTTTCTTCCTCTGTCCTGGAACTCGGATCACTTGCAAATTTTTGCTTTTGATTGTATCCCACATAATTCTCAGGGTTTCTTCGTTTTTCTTCATTCTTTTTCCTGATTTTTCCTCAAACAGAGCTGTATCCAAGTATTTGTCTTCAATTTCGCTGAACCTGTCTTCCATCATTTCAAACCTGCTCCTTAGCCCTTCTATGACACACTCCATTTCTGAAATCTTGTTTATCTTTTGGATTTCTAATTGTTATTTGTGTATGATTTATAGTTGTGAATTTATTTTGGCATTTTGTTCCTATATTATTTTTCTGAATTCTTCAATTTTTTGTCTGTATTTTCCATTGTCTGCCTTTTCCATGAATTTGTCTATTTTTTCCTCATTTTTGTTTACTTTTCACTTCAACTCTTGGATAGCTCTGAATATTGGAGATTTGAATTCCCTGTCAGATAGTTCTAGTGCCTTTTTGTCTATTGGAAAGTCATCTGGTGTTTTATTTTGGACACCTACTGGAACCATCCTGTCCTGTTTTTGTGTATGTTTTGATATTGTCTGCTGTCTTCAGGGCATTCGGTAGTTATTTTCCTCATTTTTTGAATGTAGATTTATTTGTTTCATCCTACTTTTTTGTTTTAGTTGGTTATGTCTGAGAAGGCGGGCTGTTTGATCTTTGTTGTTTGCTTCTGTGTAGGCACGATACTTTTCACCTCCTTCTCCAATGGGCAGGGTCAGTTGCTCAGGTATGGTACAGCAGGCTAGGTCCAGCCGAAGGGGAGTTTCTGGGATGGGTTGTTTGTGGCACCTACTGGGGCCGACAGGGCGGGCTGGGAATCAGTGCAGGGCAGGTTCCAGTAGGCTGTGCCTGAGCTGCTTGAGGGTGTGATGTTCAGTGCATGGTGCAGGTAGGCAGGTAGGCAGGAAGGAGAGGGGAGATTGTGATGTGTGGAGCTAAATGGGTATGTGAAAGACGAGAGAAAGGAGAGAGGAACAGGAGCCAAAAACATACAAACAAACAAAAAAGAGTGCTAAGGGAGCTTGCCATTGGACTGGAGAGATCAGAGACTGAGAAATGGAGAAAAACAAAAAGAAGAAAATGAATAACTAAAAATTAGAAGGAAAAAAAAAAAGGAGAGCTTCCAGAGATCCCACTGGTGCGGCTGCGAGGACTAGGGAAGTTGCTTCCAGCCCGTGAAGTACAGCCTGGCTAGAAGGGGTAGAGGTGTCACACAGCCCCAGGTATTCAGGAGACAGGAAGAAAAGATAAGTATAAAGAGATGTGAAACTGAGAAATGAAGTAAAAAAAGGGAGAAAGAGAAGAAGAAAACAAAACAAGGAAACAAAAAAAACCCAAAAAACAAAACCAAGAAAAAAGAAATGCCCCCAGGGATGCCACTGCATGTGTGTGCAGAGTAAGGGAGTAGCTCCCAAGCTGCGCAGTACTGCTCGGCTAAATGTGGCTCCCAAGCTGAGAAAAGAAAAAGAAAACAAACAAATCAAAACAGAACAAATCAGAACAAACAAACAAAGCTCCTGGGGTCCCACCAGCGTGGCAGCACAGGCTAGGGGGCAGTTTCACAGTCGAGCGGTGTTTCACAGCCTTTCAGGAAGAAGCAAAGATGGCACACAGAGCCAGGTATTTGAGAGAAAGGAGGGGGAGGTGGTGAGAGGTAAGGAAGAAATCTAAAGAAGCAGAAGAAAGCAACACCAGCAGCCAACAAATAGCATTTGGAGCTGGCCAGTGCGGGCAGGTGGAATCCATGTGGCTCCGGGGTGAAGCCAGTGCTTCCCAGCGAAGAGACTGTGGCCACAGGAAGCAGAGGAGGCTGAGTGGGGGTGAAGAACGGTGGGGGGTGGAAAAGCATATATCGCTGGTTACCGGTTGTTCTGTCTCCTGCTGGAAGCTCCATGAAGCTGCTTTCTTGTACCCCCTGTTCACCAATCTCCGATAGGAGTCCAAGATGGTGGGTCTGCGGTGCATTAGTTGATAGGGGACCTCTACATGTATCTCTACTCA